GAAAGATTAAAACACTTGTTCGATACCACTAATGTATATCTATATACCTAAAACGCCATAAGAATGATGTATTTACATCTCCAAACTTCGCTTTGTCGCTCTCATCACGCTCCTACAATATGCATACCTCACTCTGTCCTCCTCCAGTCCCACCAATCCCTCAATTGTCGTTCCTCTCGGACTGCTGAACTGTTCCCTAATCTCGTCCCCCGTCATTCCTTTCGACTTCTCTTTTGCCTGCTATTTGCCTTCCCATCTCTCTTTCCATCATCCCCACTATTCTCTTCCCCCTTGCCCTCCAATAGCCCGACCAAGCCCTTCAAGCTCCTCACCAAGATATCCCTTCCCTCACTTCTCTTAATCCCCTCCTTCACACCCCCATCTAATATTCCGTCAAGCGCCACTGTCAAAAATGCCATGCTCGTGGCCGCCATCACACTGGCCGCATCATATTGCCCAGGCCCCACTTCCACTATCGATCCTATACATCTAAAAATGTAGCGAACAATAGATTTATTTTGTTGCGAGAGAACCATCGAAGGAGATATTTCCACTACGGTATTTGATTCCCCGAAACTGGCTGCTAGACTTGGCATTGCGCGGACGATAGCAATTTCTTTTCCTTTGCCTTTTCCGATGGAAGATTCTGAGATTCCTATCGCAGCAGTCATTTTTTCCACCGGTGTCCCTACTGCTACACTAATCACCAGTTTTCCTCCTAACGCCTCTTTGACTCCTTGCATTGAGAGTACTCCCTCGATTGTATATGGCTTACACGCTAGTAGAACAATATCCGCTTTTTGCATAGCTTGAAGTACCCCATCATTCCCAACAAGGATATGAACACGTGATTCGCTCGAATGGAATTGTTTGCGCAATCGTATCACGGAAGCCATTGTGTTGACTGTGGCGATAAATGTGTTTATATTTGAATCTGTAGCAGCGCCTTTGGACTTCGCGTTGAGAATGCCAGTGAGAATTGAAGTGCCCATTGTTCCTAAGGAAGCATGTCAGGTGACTTATCAAGGGGCTGATGAGTTGTGCTCTGCAAACTCTCATAAGAGTACAGACAGGTAAGCAGAACAGGAGAGATACTTACCACAACCAATAATGGCAAGCGTCAGTCCTCCATTCTCTTTATCTTTGTTCGCCATCGTAAGATCTAGGGAGGTTGGAGAGGAAGCCATGATTGCGATATCGTGGCGTGTTTGTGGGTTATACTCAAGATATATGTATAATCCTTCCTCACGTCAATTTGTCTCCTCTTTGGATAGATAACCTATTCCTGAGAAATTTCGACGAATCCGCAATTACGAAGGCCAACAACTTCGTACTTCCTTTCTTTGGAAATTAAATTGCTCCCTGGGGCCTGTGTTTTGAGAAGGAGGGGTTGAGGCAAGGTTTACGGCCGCAATCCAACAACGCTAATCCTATATAGGTGTCCTGCTTATATATTATGTGAGGTCTTTCATTCGCGGAATAATGGATGGTGATTGATCCATAATTTTTATTTATTGCGAGTTATTAGGCAACTTGGTAACACAAAAGCTGTTGGAAATATCTACTGCATTGTACGAACAGATTTAAGGGGTTCGGTTGCGTTTGTTAAAAAAAAGCTTTCATGGAAAAGAAATTCTGATCTGTGCCAAAGGCGTACAAAATGAACAAATCGACCCAGATAAGCTTCCGACTGATCGTCGCTAGAGGATGCGTCTAGCCCGGTAAGTGAGTGGATACCTTTTATCTCTGCATGGGGGCTATAAAGTTCGTGCAGTCATAGACTCATAGATCAAAAACCTCAATAGTTCTTCTATCGCTTTAGGGTATTTTACGGCTTCTCTTCGTACCACATCGTGATGGAAGAGCAACATATGCAAGTTCCTGTAAAAGGCAGTAGTGATGCGCCTCTAGGAAAGAAAGACACAATCGTCGTCTTGCCGAAAAATTCACAGGAAAACATTATATCCCAATTCCTCCATGAACTTTTGCCGGATCCCAAAACATTCATACGATTATTAGAACTTGATAGGATCGACCAGGAAGATACGACAACCGAATTGCGTTGTAGCATTAGCACGTGGCATGTTGACCATACACCCCCATACCATGCCATATCCTACGTATGGGGTAGTCCAGAATTTATCACAACTATAAATGTTGACGGGAGAAGTCTGAAAATAAATATAAATGCGGATTACGCGTTGCGACAAGCAAAGTGGTTTGGCGTCCGATATGTTTGGATGGATTCCATATGTATCGACCAACACGACATCGAAGAGAAAGGTGATCAGGTGAAAATAATGGGGCACATATATCGAAACGCTTCATGTGTCTTGGCTTGTGTAGGATTGCATGATGATGACAGCGAGCTTGTAATGAAATTTTCCTGCAAAGCCAAGATCTTTAAGCCAGGAATGGGCCATATCGATGGAGCCTCTGGGCTGACTGTCATAAAACATACAATTGAATCTCTGATATGGGCCATCAAGACCCAAGACGTCAGAAAGAGAAGGCTCCGCAGAGCATTTTTCACCTTCATGGACAGACCCTACTTCAAGCGAGTATGGATCCTGCAGGAAGTTTCTGCTGCTGGAACTGTGATTATTTGTTGTGGAAGTGACCATCGTCCTATCAGCGAGCTTTACACACTTCATCACAAGCTACACAGTCTGATGGTGAATACTGGGCGGCTTTACTCATGCAATCTCTTGATCATCGTTGCTTTCTTGACAATGCATCGACAAGAGATGACAAGAGCTTCCATAGTAGACTGGCAGGACAGCCGTTGCGATCCTGCTTCAAATTCTTGCTGGGGTTACTGTGCGGATCCTCGTTATCGATACTTGGCATATGGGGCTAGCAAAGTAGATCAGCATTTCCTTTTACTCCCTCTATTAAAGTTGACACGAGACTTGCAATGCCAAGATCTTCGGGACAAGATATATGGAGTTCTCTCAATGGTCGATTGGCAGGATGTGTTGCCTATTGCGCCAGACTACACCGCAGATATTTTTGAGCTAGCAGTTCTAGGAATGACTAGAATAATCGAACAATCAAAATGCTCGGAAGGAAATTGCTCAGAAGAAAGTTGCTATCAAGCAGCATTACCATTCGCTTACTCACTCGCGCAAAGTATGAAGCTATCCCTCGCGCACAAAAATTCAGAGAGCGTTGATATACATCAGCACGCAGAAAGAGTTATCAGCCTTGATGAACCTGTGATTCCATATGCAGAAGACGTAGAATGGTTTTCTTGTAAAATTTTGAGAGGTACGGACAACAATTGGAAGCTCGATGTTCGACCGAATTATAAGTTCCATAAAAAGCATATAGAAGGGGACTTGGGGTGCATGTTTCATCGTGATAAAAGCGGTCGCCGGCCAAAACTGATCTTATCTGGTTTCGAAGGAGAGATCCCGGAAGATTATGTCAAAATCATGGATGATGAAGGCGGCCTGGTAGCGCTGCTACCCAAAGCTACACAGCAAGGAGACTTGCTTGTTACTCAAGCGTACGCACATTTTGACCGCAAAGAGCCAACCAAAATCAGATATCAAATGCCTCGCTACCTAGTATTACGAGAGTACGAGTCGAGTCGTCTTTCCATAATTGGGCAAGCTATAGCTGTGGGAGGATGTGTGGCCTCTAGCGCTACTATTGGCCCATGGTTCGACTTGCAATTTGGTGTCCGCGACGCGCTTAACTTGACGATATCTTGGGCAAAATGTCCCGCCTACCAAGAAAAAGATCTTTCTTTGCTAACTTGGACTATGGCAAAAGAGTTATTAGATCTGAAGGTCTGTCGGGATCCATTATCTTCATACGCATCTGAGGTGCAGTATGACCCGAGGGTAATCGATGAAAATTGGCGTCAGAAACTTGGATTTGATCCTTGGACAGCGAAAAAATCGGGACGACTTAGCACGAGACTCAGAAGGTGGGCCATAAGATATGTAGCTCAAGGCGGAATGAGGCGAGCAAGAAGAAATGCCAGATTTGCATCTGCGAAATTGAAATAAGCCTTGAAGGATGCGCGAATCAATAGGCTTTAAAATTTGCCGACAGAATGCAATACATCGTCCAGTTGCAGTGTCAGATTCAAATGACTTACCTGGCTTGCTCTAAGGTAGCATATTCATGTACCACAAAATAGAAAACAAGAAAACTCTAGCCAAATGCGGTAGCTTGATGATATGCAAATTTGAATACTTCCGTATTCACTTCATTTGATGGAATCCCTTCTCCATTCTCTATCCCTCATGATTTCCAATGCTCATACTTTCACAACTTTGCACTCGCAATCTTTCCGCTGTAAAATTCAGCAGTTACGAAAATCAGGAATTCAAACTTTTCGGATCCAAGCCAAGTTTGCGAATGCGAATAGATTCTTAGCTCTTTTGCTCGACCCATGAAATGGGGGGAGCAAAGATAGGAAGATGGGAATGAGAAGTGCAAGTAATCACATCAAAAATTCATGATCACTGAGAATTTGAAAATACAATCACAAGTAATTAGCGTTAATTTGGTGTGTGATGATGTGGTGATCTTGATAGTCCAGATCCGATAGACTTTTTTTTCGACTCGGGGATGTCCCATTCTGATTTCTGATGGACCCTTCCCAAATTCACTCAAAACTCCTCCCACCTCTGATATTGGTTAGGAAGGTAAGAAAATTTCCTCACGACACGCTATCTGAATCATAAATTTCTCTATTGGGAATGGCCAGATGTCGAGCACTAAAGTTAGGTAGAGACACTATCTTCCTAGCTACCGTACAGTACTAGTGAATACTGGTAAACACACTACACGTGATTTAGTTATGGTGAAACATGATCTCACTACAGTAAATTACTATTTCAGTACATCCTCATCCATTTATTATTTGGTTACGATCCAAATCCAAGTTGATTGAACTTCATATCAATTCAATTGACATAAATTCGAAATCAATTAGACTTCAATACAACTAAAGTCCAAATCAACGAGAACCGCAACAAAATATGTCCGACTCCGACGCACCTACCAACGTCTCCGTTAGAGATCTCGACTATTCTGGACTCAGAAAAGCCATCGATGCAAGACTCAACAAATATTTCGAGAGATTGGACGCGCCAGAATCTCACGAAAGACCCAAGGCCATTCATCGTAACGACTTTTACAAATTCACAATCCGTGCAGAAGAGCCAAATGTAGAATTCATCAAGTTTGTACCAAAAATAATGTGGTGCAGTAAACTGGGAGTCTACAAACACGTTTCCCATGAACGGGCCTATGAACTTCGCATTGTTCTTGACGAATTTTGCGAGGAATGGTGCAGTCAATGGTTGACCGGTGATGCTGGAATATTCTTTGTGCAGATTCGTACGAATCTTCGCAGAGGTAGGAATTTGTAAACCGACGAGGGTTCCTTCCGACCACTGGGGATGTCAATCACACGTAGCTACTTGTGGCTACAGGTGTCTGGCCACACGTCATTCTCAGGGTAATCACTACCCATAACAAATGCAAGATCAAACACGACGTAGAAAGCTTTGATTGTTTACAAGCGTGTCCTGACAAAATGAAACTTTTAACCAATGCCTTTCTTTTTCTCTCAACCAGAAATAAATCAAAAGCGACGACACCAAAATAAGAGTAATATTGGATATATCTTAATCGAGATTGAAAATTTTCAGACTGGGGAAAATATGGAACGGAAAACGTATCCAAGGTTTTTCACTGAGGCAGACTTGGGAACACATCTCACCAAATTTCTTCTAAGGTTGGATGAAGATTTCCTTCGGAATATCATGGCTCAAATCGTCAGGGACGAAGGCTACGGATGCCCTATATACAATGAAAAAAATGAGGCTATTTTCATGATCAACATTGACCCATCAAAGCTATCCCATAATAATCCGCGAAAGATGGTCACGGCATACACCATTATGGATGTCGAGGAAATTCGAAAGTTTGTTCGGGATTTGTATTATAAATCTTGTGTCGACCAAGATACTCGTGGAGCCAAGATTCGTTGCGATCTCCGTTTGGAAGGTCAGAGAGTAGTCTCTCAAGTCAAGCTATGGGAGGAGGGTGACTCAGATTATAATGAAGTTGGAGATGAGGACGAAGATGAATCGCTGTTTGAAGAGGTGTTCGGTGGTCGCAAAAAAGACGGTGATGCTGTCTGGAGACGAAGGATCTGGTTCGCATTCGAAAAAATGAGAGCTCCACAACTTCGGAGGGCTATCCACATAATATGCGGAGGAGTCTACAAGCTGAATTTGCCCGCTGATGAGGAATATATCAATGAAAAGGACGATTTGACATTGCGGCGTACAATCGCAGTAATCTTGATAGTGGGCACTCGAGTTGTCCTCCCACACGAAGCCGAAACTTGCGATTTACTGGAGAAAATGACTGCTGATGAACTTAGGAAATCTCTTATAATTTTGTGTAATGCCAAAATTGTCTCAATATCATTCAATAACGGCATGCAACTTATAATAGACGGGAGGACTATTACTCTGGATGTCCGTGACCAGCTCGAGCCGCAAGGTGAGAGCTCCAGTGAGAGCGGAGAACAGTATCCAGCAGATGAAAGTTCAGAAGAAGAGGAAACGAGTGATCATGGTGTGGAATTTGAAGCATCCGTCGAAGAATTATCTGAGCCTGAGTTCCCCATTCCTAGAAAGAGACCCAGACTGTGGGTTGAGCCGAATCAGCTACTCGGAGAAGTACCGTCGTAGTATACTTATTAAAGCGACTTTCGATATGATGGTGGACTCGACATCAATAAATTGGTGCCCACTATTGTTTTTGTACACCGGAAGAAGGGAGGGGATGAGGTTGCACGAGCAGCTAATCAATACCTAGTATCAATTAGAAGAGTACATAATCAAATAAGCTTGTCATCCGTACAGATTTGAGAAATCAGTGAATTTAGGCCAACCAATTTCTTTTGTCAGAAATGAACTTGCAGAGATTTAAAATTGCTTCTTAATTTATCTAAGCGAACCGTGAATTCAGTAACTGCACGTCGCGCTGTTGTTCCTTTATTATCTCTCGAGCGCGTCCTAAACATCTACTCCATCATCAAACCTGAAAAAAAAATACCGATGCAGCTTCATCGATACAGCGACAATGACTAACCCAAGACTTAAGACCGCCTTCGACGAAATGGATGCGCCAAAACTTCGAGAACTCCTCAACAGATTATGTGATTGTGGAAGGATTATTGTTGAAGATTCGACGGGTAAAATTGAGGTGAATGGCCGCAACATCTTTATCTCAAATGGATTCATCGACCTTACTCAAAGCGACGATAGCGACGGTGAGGGAGAGCGAGACAACAATGATGGGGTTGGAAGTTATAACGACAACGAGGTTGAGCCTACCAAGGAAAAAGCAGATGATGGAGAATTTGCAATGGTTGATAATGAGAGTTTGCCTGAGCTCGAAATTGCGGAAAGAAGCCAACAAGTGGGCACAATGGGAGAGCAAGAGATAGATGAAGCAGTTGGAATAGTCCAATTGGCGAATCAAATGATAAACAAAGGCGACGAGGCAGCATTTGAAGACAAGGAAGAATGCAGCGAGGAGGAATTAGAGACTGACTCATGGGACAACTCTGATGATGACAACGATGTACCAGCTTTGCGGAAAAGTGAGATCAAGGAACTGCTATCATCGAAAAAGGATTACTTAGAGGATATGTACGCTAAAAAGGAAAAAAGATTGCGAAATTTGGTTGTTTCAAAGAAGAGAAATCTGAAGATATTTGAGTGCGAAAACTGTGGTTCCGACTTCAATATCGAGGGCAACAAGAAGGGCGATTGTTCTTTCCATCCAGGTATGTATTGGTGTGTTCTGTCTCGATAGAACGTTTGTTCACTGACTCTCGAATTCCAGGCGAGAGAGAGCTAGATGAGAATTATGCGGAGGATTATCATTGGCCTAACTATGGAGAGCCGTGGAAGAGTGCAGATGATCCGGAGTATGCTGATCGTTTCATCTGGAGTTGTTGTGAGCGTAATTCAGATGCGGAAGCCTGTATATTTACGAGACATAAAGCATTGGAGGAAAGAAGCAGCAAGAGAACTAAAATTGAGGGTTAGTATTTTGTTATGGTTGCAGCGACAACAGCAATGGCGGTCTATACCTAGTATTGATCTTGATCTTCTAGATGCTGATAATTCTCTGATATATTTGAGGATGAATGTTTGAAGAAGAGATAATGATTTACGTAGATTGATAATCCCAGCCCTCATCTCGTCCATTGCTTTTGATCTGAAAAATTGTTTGTGCATTTGCTGCTTATTTGATGTGAAGGATACAGAGTTACTTTGTGTCTTGCAACCATCTCAACAATCGAACCATAAAAAGCTGCACAAGCTTTCTACAAACTTTCTAGACTGTACACAGATATGGTATCTATTCATTCCAGATATTCTCGAACGAATCTGCTTGCAGAGAGTGAAGAGATTGCTCTTATTCACCATAAGATGATTATCTGGTCTTGAATCTCTTTAAATCCTTGCCATGCCATTGACGAATTTGTTCATAGCAATTTCAAGAGGCACCATCGAAATTAACCTCTTAGCTATCACTAATTCCTTCTTTTGATGGAACAGACCGTATGTACTGAGATTAGCCAGTAGATGAGTGTCTCGAGCTACTTTCAGAAACATCTATTTTCCTTCTCAACAACGCCTTTCTTTACATCTAGCCACAGCTATAAAATCCACAGCTTTCCATTGTTCGACTTCGAAATTTGCATTCCAGCACGGAAAACATTATCGACTCGAGATTATGCGAAGAATTTGAGAAGATGGGTGCTCCACAGCTTCGAAATCTTCTCAAGCTGGTCTGCGACAACAAAGGCTTTGCTTTGAAGCATCGTCATGGAAAGCTTTTTGTCAAGCCAGAGAAGGTGTTCTTTGGGGTCGATGGCTTTCACGAAGGCAAGCCTAGACTTACTAACTTCGGGGATTGCGATAACTACAAGGAAAGAGAAAAGGATGTTGGAATCGAAGTTGAAGACGTGCCGATCAAGTCCAAGTATGAAGTTCATGAGTTAGTCAAAGCCGACAAGAGAAAACATCCGGGCAGAAGCCCCACGATGTTGAAATGCGAGAACTGTTGTAATTACTTCTGCATCAACAACAATCCGTCCAACGACTGTCTATGGCATCCAGGTACATGCCAAATTTCTCGTCCCATGCCTATCTTGCTGACAATTTCAGGTCAAAGAATAACAGATCTTGACGATATCATATGGGCAGATCATGATTCGAAGAAAGATGGAGCAATTGAATCTCTTATTGATCATCCGGACTTCGAGGATCGTTGGATTTGGTCTTGCTGTTCACAATTCGGAAGCGATTGGGGTCGCAAAAACACGAGACACAAAGCGTTGGAGGAAATCAAAGAGCCCAGAAACACATTCGAGACATCCCCCGAAAAACTCATCGATTGACTACAAAGATCTTGGAGATTCCGACTCATCGAATGCATCCGAGGATATGGAAAATGTCGAGGAACCGGCAGCAAAGAGGGCCAGATATGATTGCGATAGTGTGTACAGGAAACAGAAGAGTATATAATGGTGATGATTTGAGCATATGAGTAGTTTTCTGATTGAGAAACATCAATATTTTATATTGAGAGAGGACCTTGAGGGTGTGTAAGTGGAGAAATGAGTTCATTTTGGAGGAACGAGGTATCGTTGTGGATGGCCGTTGAGCTAAGACAGCCTTTGCAAATGAAAGCAACATCGACGACCATATACTCAGGTGTTGATTGAATTTGAGTGTTCGTATCAAAATTTCATGAACTTGTTGCCAATTAATCTCAATGTACGTGAAGTGGTGGTGCATTGTCTTTTCATCTTTTGGATTTCACGTGATTGGCAGACAAAATCAGGAGTTACGTAAGCTTGGTGAAGTATGCTGTGACCAAATGAGGGTGCAGCAAACAATTCGAAATACAAACAATTGACATTTCACTGTCAATGATTCATTAAGTTGATACGGTCACATACAATCGAAGAATCACTTTATTCATATTGTTGGCTTTCAATACTGCCCTTCGCCATGTTGAGATACGAGATAAAGGAAATTTATTTCTGAAAGCTCTCACAAACAAAATAAAAGTACGAACTTTGCTACGCCATACAAGAATTGCACATAACGGTCATGTCAGATGTCAATATGGAAGAAGTTCGCAATGACGATTCATTATCACTTGCTAATAAGCTTGGTACGAAACAACGAATCGAGCAGGCAAAACTTAGAGCGGCCGAACGAAGAGCTCGTGAAGCTACTGCAAGGCGCGTGGAACAAGCACCTGTAACACCATCCCGGTCACCATTTCCTGCATCGCCTTCCATTACAAATTCTTTACCATCCACTTCCAATCATGCATCAACAGCAAGCATTTTTCTTCGATCACCGACTACATATCATGAACGCGTCGAGCGGGCTAAAACACTCGAGGCACTATCAAAGAAGATCGATGGGCGGGGAACTTTAAGCTTCAGGCACTGATCATGAACATGATATTGAAATGTCCAGGAGCAAAAGAAGTAGCGGAATCATTTCTCCTATCGAACGGCGTGGAGGACAACAAAGAAGAAGACGGTGAAAAGACAAGAGATGAGACGGCGCAATTAGAGGACGCAGACGTGCAAGTCACTGATCACGTGACACTCACCCGCGATCATGGCGCAAGCACCACTTCAAACGTGGACCAACATCGAGGGGATCCGTTAAAAACCAAAGCAGGCTCTGGATCCCCCGCGACGACAGTGCTAAACCAGCATATTGGTGGAGCAAATACCAGGCAAGAATATGATTCATCACGTTTACATCCAACTCGTTCTCCAGAGGACAGCTTGATATTGCACGATAACGAGACAGCCTATCAATCAATTATCCTGGAAAGTAGAAGTCGCTCTGATTTTGTGGGCTCGCAAGGCTTAGTTGACAGGCAACTTCTACCCATTCTCAATAGTAATTCAAAGAAAGACCCTAGAACGATCGATGACGGAGGATTGGAGACAACTTCGATAAACACAACTACTGAAGCGCTTCATACTCCGAATAATGGCACACTAAAAGAAGTCGTGTCCGGCACAGATTTCTCGAAAGCGCTCGACACTCTTATTAGTAGCGTTGCCAGGTCACGTGGAATAACTGTTAATGATCATTCTACGAGCGCGACCCCCCAATCCTCAATTCCGGGAGCAAGCGGATCTGTTACGACTTCAGTAACGACTGATAGACCGCAAGATGACATGCTTAAATTAGCCAACAATATATCAGTCAGATACCTTGCTTTAGCTCGTGCTTCTGGTGGCGCCAATTTTCCTTACGACCAACTTGCAAGTATTGGAGCTGGATCTCCACTCAATGTATCCACTAAAGAGTTTTCATTTGAAGCGTTCGACAATCTTGTTGACAGTTTTCGGAAAAACATGGAATCAATGCATGAAGCTCATGCCAATAATGAGATTCTGGGAAACACGAGGAGTCAAGAAGTTTCGGAGAATTTCAGTGATGCTAGTGATCTGGGCAGTCCTATCCCTATCGATATGAATGGTCAGGAGATGGACGACAATTTGTTTCGTACAGATGGCGTTAATCCAAACGTTGACGAAACCACGGCCATAGCAGAGTCAACGGATAGTGAGGAAGATGAGTATGGTTTCCTAGACAACGTGCCAAGTAGTCATTACAACTGTGATAGTTGTCGAAACCCAATCGTGTTACCCCAAGGCTCAATTGTCAGTTTGATGAGCCCAGCACCTACCACATGTCTGCACTGCAAGACAAGAAAAGCTGCAGGGATCACACGTAGAAGACTGGGAGTTGGATCTCGATCAAGCATTGTTGCAGAATCTCCCAATCCCGAAATAAACAATCAGTCTTCATCTGTCCAAGCAGATCAGTCTGTTACAGAGACTTCCTCTCAGTCCTTGAGACCCGTTGCGGAGATACCAGTGCCGCCCCCTCAGGTTCCCTCGAAACCACTCTCAGAATCCCTTTCAGAACCATTACCAGAACCGTTACCAGAACCACTACGAGAATCACTACCAAACCCATTATCGGAGCCATCATCGGAACTACTACCAAAATTACCACGAGAACCACTTATAGAGAATATCGAGCATCTTTCGCATTCAATTGAAATTGAAGAGAGCGATTCTGGTGAAATGCCCCGGGACTCTGGATCAGGCGATGGAGGCAATGTAAAACAGGAGTATCATAGAGGTAATTTCAGCGTTGAGCTTCCGGGATGGCCCCGTTCTGCAAGCCCATGTCTTCCCTCGAATTTACTTTCAGCTAACAGCCAAATATCCCCAAACGGTATGAAGCGCAAGGTTGAGTACATGGAGGGCGAAGCTATCTATTCTTATCCCATCGGCCCGAAACGACGCCGCGGCAGACCTTTGAAGAATTACCAAGCAATCGTTTTAGACTCTCCGCCGAGAGGCTCTTCTCAAGCTTCGACATCGACATCACGCCGAAGTTCACAAGTGGGTCTGAGTGGCAAGAAACGAGGTCGTCCATTTGGAAGTAAAAATAGAGTCAAATCGGAAATTATAGATTACAATCAGCCAATGAATAGTACAGGAATAATCAAGCCAACAGGCCAGCGTCAATCTGCTAAGAAAACTCGGGAAATTCTACGTAATTTATTTAACGAGGAACAAGATTCCATGGAACATGCGACAGCCCGGTCTGGAGTACCAGCACAGATCCAGATCAATTCTCGTTCGGCCACTAGTTATACAAATCTAGACTTGCACGCAAGCTCTGACCGTGTTATTCCAACGAATAGAAGGGCTCGGCGAGATCTTGATCCTGACTACATGTCAACATGGCAATCCGAATTTCGAAGCGGCACAATATTAAATGACAATTCAAACTCGTCTTCTGTTGGTGGTGCAGTATCGAATATCAGCCACGAGAGCGGCACAACCGACAATAACTTGGTCGGATCTTTGAAGGAAAATGCAAGGGAACCTGGGACCTATAATCCTCAGAGGAGAAGCTCTGAGTACGAAGCTGACTTCATGACATCTTCGCATCGTTTAGATATGTTTGTTGGAAGACAAGATGGAGAAGTTTCTGTCGCTCAGAGCTCGATCTCGGACCAAGAGCAATCTCGTCGTGAGTCTTTCCAGCTATTTTGACCGGAACTCATTCCTAACAATCAACTAGTCCAGCCGGCTATGTACACAAATCGCGCGTCTAGTATCGAGAATTCACGCCTTGGGAGAGAAAATTTAGCAGGAAGAACATTACCTGGAGAGCCGCTGACTGATAGCTCATCATCTAGCACATTCTCTGTAGGCGAGTTGCCCTGGAATGCATTCAATCAAGACCCGGATCTGACTGCATTACCTGCCTCTTCGCCAACCGTCCAGAGTTTGCAAGAACATACTCCAAAGGTTTGCTGCGGAAATTGGAGTTGCAGATTTAATAGTAGATGCGAAAAGAAACTCAATCGCAGGGAAAGGAAGAAGCAGAGAAGACAAAATAAACTTTTAGCCAGGAACAACGGTGGTAAAAATGAAGTCACATGAAGAGACTTTGCACATAGCATAGGAAAGGTGAATATCCTCGAAAATGCAAAAGGAAAAAGTGTATAATAGTTCAAGATTGGATGGAGAGTTGAGGGTTTGCAGGGATTTGATCAAAGGACTGAAAAGATGAGATATATGTTGTGAAACTTTACACCTATACGTTCTGATGAGCTCTAATCTATAGAAACAATCTCATGAGAAACCGCAGTCGCGGAGTTGATACGTAGTGGTAATGCCACGTACGTCGTATCTGTTGTCTATTTTCCCAGGGACTTCTGCACATACACAAGTTATATAGCATGTTGACGCTTTCTCTGAGACGTGTCTATTCTATGATAGAATCGAATAATACAGAGTACAGATCAAGTTCATGTTTACGATGCTACCTAGGTAATCTATACTTCGATGCATGGCATATTTTTAAATGGCTATCGCCTAGCGATCTTTACAAATTATTATCCATATGGATACTTATACTTGAAGGTCTCTAACTGGTGGTACTGATGGTAATTTCTGTATTAAGAAAAGTTGATTTGATCCAGAATATATGACTTGAGGTCCTGCATGTTTTCATCTCGTGGGGTGCTAATTTGCATAGTTTTCTTGAGATTTCAAAAAGAAGAAGTGGATGGATCTGGACAGAGGAGGACAGGAAATGCCAAAGACAAAATAGTTTTGAGAAAGCTTGCGCTTCGCTAGCTTCAGTGTAGCTCCTTTCTACCGCAGATTGTAGTTATATCGACAGTTGAAATCGGTAGGTATGTGATGAAATTATTGCATCAACTCTGTACTTACACATTCTATAGAATACTTAGATCAGTCTCACATTCAACAAACCGTAATAGAATTCGTTTGTGTTCATTCTCTCCGAAATGAGTGAATAAATATTACGGCCACTTGTTCATTCCTAGTTTCCTGATCTATCAAGCTCATGAAATATGAAAACATTTCTCTTTCTATCTAGATAATTCCAAAACAAAATCAAAAGATCCAACCATTCCATTTCCACCCGACAAAATGAACAACAACATAGCATATCCCGAAATTGATCCAGCGTCCCAAAGAACCATCGAAGACCTTGCCGCAAGCATGAGAGAAGACGAAGCCTTTGCCGAATACACAAACGATCGAGAGACAGAAGTGCAGATGTACATTGAGGAGCGCCGAGCGCATCTCCAGATTTTTATAGAGGAGCGTCAAATATATCGACAGATGTATATTGAGGAGCGCGAGACACGTCTCGAGAAGGAACGGAAGGAGGCCCGATTCACTCAATCCATGACTCACACTACAATCGCATCGATCTTCACTTTCATCGTGTTCTTTATATTCAAGTACTGTCTCTGATGTAAGTAACTCTCCACTCTCAAAGAATTGAATTTCTACTAACATATATCTTTGAGCAGATAATGGAGTTTTGATCTACGATTTTGCTCCTATCGATGCACGCTTCTTCGATGGAGGAGAAGATCTACACCTTCTGTACGCAGGATTCCTTTGCATTGATCAAATAAGCAGTTCACACTCTTTAGGATAATATCGAATGGATAATTTCGAAGGAAATACCGGGGTGTTTAAGTACACGGGTTGTGGAGTTGTATTTGGAGGAGTAGCCAAAGGCAGGATACAAACAATCACAAAGATACCGTTTTTATCTCGAATACTAGAAATAGTCACTCGTTTATACATGAATTAAAGAATAAACGCTTTTACGGAGTTGAGAATATCCGTAGTGCTCCCTCATTCTGTGCTTTTTCCGGTAAAAGAAAAAGACTCTCACCGTCTAACCTCTTTGTAGAAACTACTATCACCTGAACTTGCGACAGATTTTATCCTATAGCCTCGCGAAATGTCAACAACATGTACCCAATGACATGCAACTGTCAAAATTTTCGCATGTTATTGTAATTCAGCTACGCAAGTTTTCATCGCCAACTCTGTTTTTCCCCGAGTGGAAGATGAATCAACCGAACGGCTTTAACCCACTTGCTCAAGTGTACAAATTCCAACGCTTCAGAATCTATCAAACCATAAGCGAGTGTAGCTTCATTGCTAATATACATCGGGAACCTTCATAATTATATGACCACACAATCAAACAACCCCATTGAACATGCAGCTCAATGTAAAAGAACAAAGCTTCGACCCATTTATGCATAAAAGATATTTCTGGAAAATCCCTCGTTAATATTTCATTCTCGTAGGCTCTATGAAGTTTCTCTATTCTATTTCACAGTAATGCATCAAGGAAACCGATAGTTTTATGAATCTTTGCTGCCACAAATTTAATCACACGCCTCCGCCTCATCTCATCCCATCTCTGCTCTTCTCGTCAAAACGTCCATCGCATGATGAAACTTAACGCCAGAGTCCTCACAATGGAAAAGGGTATCCGTACAAAAGCTCTGCCCTTCTCCCCCTCCCATTTTACCAACTCAGTCAATATTCGCAGAAGTATACACAAACTCGAACCCAATCTTCAACTCCAGGCCCACCTCAGCGTCCAGCGGCTTAAGGATCCTCTTCGCTCGTCACACGTTCTATCTCTTCCTTCGTTGCTTTCCCAGTATCAGTACCTAATTTCCTCTGATTAATCAAGCTACCACCAATACCACTCCCGCTTCCACTGCGATGCTCAGAACTGGTATTTCTACCTTCCCCATCTAATGCACTCACCCCCCCAAACTCCTCATCATCTCTCTCTAGACCACCCAATCCTTCGATTGCCCCATGACCTCTCTCAAAGATTTTATCAACATCTTCTAATTCCAATCCTTTGGTCTCGGGAAAATAGAGAAATATGATTGGAATCCAGCACGCATTCAGTACCCCGAATACTATGTAGGTTTTATACCCTATATTATTTAATGCGATTGGAGTAATTTGTACAATCATGTAATTAAAAATCCAGTTGCATGCTGTTGAGACCGAGGAACCTCGTTGGCGAAGACGAAGAGGAAGGATTTCAGAAGGATAGACCCAGACCTAGGAGTGAGGGACGGTGAAAGTTAGTAATGGCAAATAGAATCAATGGAGTAGATAGGATTCTTGAGATATGGGGCCGTTAAGAAACGTGCCAAAGAAACTGGTGAGTTCATTCATGTAGTAATCAAAAATGTGAATACTACTCACTGTCGCCTGAAATCCAATAGTGAAAGCCCCTTCAAAAATAAACAACATCACCGCCGCACCAATGCCACAACCTTTGGCAATAGATGTATTATTTTGCACATTATAAATCAATCCCGTTTGCACAATCATTACTACTGACATGACAGAAATCATTGACAAGAGTAGAGGGCGCCTCCCAACTCGATCAATAAGTAACCAAGGGATAAAACTAGCGGCAAAGAACCAAGTTTGGAGAAATCCCGACATAAGCGCACTGAGATGATCTGAGAATCCTAGTGAGGTCGAGAAAAGTGTATTGGAGTAGTATATCAATGCGTTTATACCGCCTAATTGTTGGAAAGATTGGATGGCGCATGCAATCAAGAACCGACGTTGTGATTGAATTGCATCATTTTTGAACAGATCACTCCAAGAGCCTGTTCCCAGTGATTTTTCGAATTCGCAAGTGCGGACAATATCCACGTGTAAAGATTTTATTTGCCCCTCTGTCATGTGATGTGAATGTAATCGAGCGAGAACAATCAACGATTCATCCGTTTTCTCGTGCGCAGCTAGCCATCGAGGAGATTCAGGAACTATGGCGAGTAAAACAAGCATTGGTACTAAGAACATACATTGGAGAATCGTCGGTACTCTCCAAGAAAACGAGGCAGTGTATGATTGCGTGAAGCCGTAATCGACCCAATACGCTAAGAATATTCCAAAATTCAAAGTCGACAATTGCATGCAGACATCTGCGATATAGTCAGTATCGTGATACTTCTACGTATTCGGTATTTCTCTTACACAATCCCCTTGTTGCTTTAGGACTGAACTCTGCTTGGAACACAGGAACAGTACTATTTATGAATCCCATTCCTACTCCGGAAACTACTCGTGCAACGATTATATGAGCTCTCGAGTATGCTGATGCTTGCAGTAATGCCCCAATGGTCATGATAACTACTCCTATTCCAATCGATTTCTTCCTTCCAATATTTTCTCCAAACAAAGATGTAGCTACACTTCCGAGGAAACACCCCACTTCATATATAGCGACGATCAGGCCAACGATGGTGGGGTCAGGATTGTTGAATGTATCTTTGAACCCTGTTGCATTAACGAGTCTGCCATGAATTGTTAGTTGAAGGCAGTCCAATGGCAGCGTTTAAGATCAAAGAGATGCATTGGGGTTTTAGGGAAGAAAATTTACCCTCCCATCAATCCATTGTCATATCCTATGAGCAAAAACCCAAGACATGTCAGCGATGTCACGGCTGTAAAGAGAGCCCGACCTTCGAGGTTCGGCATCGTGGTGAGAATTGAAATAATTGCAAATTGCCGAGTACAAATTTGAACATGGGAGGTATTCAAGCAATTTGTTTGTATCAACCACCGGGTAAACACAGCGTCGAAAGGGTGTTGAAAGCCGTTTCAAAGCGCAATGATGTCGTGAAAAAGTTCCCAATATAGTTTTATGATGTTGCTTTGTGTATATCTCATGTAATAATGTCAAGTGCCGTGGCGTCTGTTGCTGAATGATGAAGAATGGAGGTTTTGATATCTTGGTCTCTCAGTAAATGCCGGAAATCTAGCTTCAATTGATAAGAAAGGAAACACGAACACCCGTCGTCGTATATTCAATTAAATCCGGGGAAATGGTGGACTAATGAAGAACTGGGGAAGGGACATTTCGGCAATCCTGACTAAAGTGGGGTAAGTGCGTGTCACTGAGGGAGGGGTAAACCAGGGGAGAAGAGACCCTGGCAACTCTGTAAGTGGGACATGTTTTTTAAACATGCAGCTCATCAAAAAATCAATCGAGGTTAAAAATGAATCAATGTTTTGGATCCCTCAATTCTCAATGGTATGAGCCAAAATGATGAATTGCTAACTGATAATCGTACTGTATTTGAAAATTTACTTTATCGAGATTTCTTGTTTGGAGAGCATTTTTTGTCGATTCTGATGTGCCACGCTTATTAGTCGTGTGCCCAGCGCAGTAGCTTCTCGCTAAAAGATTCTTGTGAGGTTTAGGCCCGAGACGGTGAGACTTCAATAGTACATTATAAACTTTCTTGGATCACGATAATCTATTGATCAAATCAGAAGGGAGAGAGCCTGGGATAGAATGTTCAATTGTTCGTAATCTCATTGTACTATCCTGGTTCGAGTGCCATGAATATGAGGTAATAATGAAACAGTAAAGCACAGTATGCACAGAAGCAATATATGGCCAAAAGTGAAAATAATTCAGAGCAAAATTTCATCAAATATGGTATCTAATCTGAAAATACACGCCACCGCCTCGGGTTTGCGAGAGAGAACAAAGGAAACAACCGCCAGCAGTTATACGGCCCATTTTCTCTATCCAGTTCTTTCGCTTTCATCCATTCAGTAACCAAATAGAAAGTGTGTAGTTCTGCTCTCCTCTCTGTACTGAACCAGATAGCATGCCAATTCATGTTTCTATGCCAGTCGCCTAGTTATATGACTCTTGCAGCCGCTATTGTATTAAAACTTTGGAGACACCGGAGGACGAAAAAGATTCAACAATGGCGAATCAGACATTGACAGTGAGAAAATAACGATGGCTTAGATGGTACGCGGGTGCAAGGAAGTGGGATGAAAGACCAGCAGGCAATAGGTTGACAGCGAAAGTTGAAGACAGGTGATAGTGAGAGCTGGAGATGATAAAAACGCGACAAAAATAGCGGCTATGAAGTACTTTGATTGTACTGACTCTTTGACGGTATTCTAAAAAACAAGAACAGTGAGAATCTGCGAGGAAAACTGAGCGGTGGCTAGAAGGCGACAGAGGAAGATGGGAGAAAAACAAAAAGGTGATAGAGCTATCGTAAGAAGAAAGAGGCATCGAGCTCAAGATTTCAAAGACTTTCGCTCAATTGGTCAACCATAACACCAATCAATCATCGCTCTTACGCGTTTGCTTCTCGCTCTTTGCGCTCCCTGTCCGTTCTCTCTTTCCATTGACTGTGACTATTCGACAAACAAATAGTTAGAACCTTCTAATAAATTCTAGAATAAATAAAGCCTCAATATAGAACGGCCAATCACTGAACAAGTGATAACTTACTTTGGATGGAACGAACACTTTCCCCCCGAGCTTTGATAAGCACAACTCATACAAACTCCTCCCAATGGTTGTCTATCACTACCAGATTGAGGTGGAACCACAACACACTCTGCGAACAGCCCACTACCGGCTTTACAGTAGCTGCAAGGCTCAGGGACTACTTCACCTACTAAGTATCCGGCTGTTGCATCCCAGTAGTCGGGTCGCGAACGGTAGAAATCTCTATGTGGTTTTCGTAGAGAGAGCTGTCTGCGAAGAGGCATGTCCCTCAGAAGGTCAAGTTGTTTGCGGTGTGGGACGCCACGAGGAAGGGTCGCTGTTCTTACTTCTTTGGTTAAGCTTGCCATGGTGTCAGCGCGGATAGGGTCTGGTTTCTCTTCGATACCAGTGCCGATAAGAGCGGCGTCTTCGGCTGGACGCTTGGCTGCAGTGGACAAACGAATTCTGGAAGGAGCTGGAACTGGAGCTTGTATTTGCGCCGACACTGGCCTTGAGCTGCCGAGATCTATGGAATCACCACTGTCATCACTATCATCATAGTTGGCTTGACCAAGAGGAGTTGATGGACGTGGTGGAGGAGAGAGATGATCAGGAGCGCTCTGAGAAAGATTGGTCCGGCCTGGATGAAAAAAATGAGATGAACGAGGAGCATTGATGCGAGCTGGTCTTAATTCCCGAGTAACTGCCTCCAGTTGCGCATTTATAACATTCAAGGGCTCTTCAGGGTATTTATAGTCGCACCATTGTTTGTGCGTCAAGCCATAGTCTTCGTATAAAGCATTTGAATATGGAGGGGATGTGGTAGCAAAAAAAGAGGCTCCGTCCCTGTTGTTAGACATCTTTATTTTCGATGGATGTAACTTGGAGAAAATATATTGAATTTTTTGACTTGGGGCAGAGATTGTTTTTCGAGGATTTGAAGTTGTGTTGTTGAAAAGTGTAAAGGGTTAAAAACAAGACTGTGCTTTTGTTTTGTGGTGATAATCTTGGTGGGAGATAGTCACTACGCTTAATGTCTATTGTTGTGTTGTTGTGTTGATAATAAATTGACCAACCATATGAGGATAATTGAAAACTTCACTCAACAGCAGAAACTAAGCATCGACGATAAACACTTCTTCGGTAAATTCGCCAGCTTGAAAGATTCCGTCCATGCGCAACGTTCTCTTCCAACACCAGCAATTGCTACTAACTTCGTTAATGTTCTCTGCCCTCGAACTTTTTCAATGCCCTCTTTTGCTTTTCTTGAAAGTTCTCTCTGGGAACTTTCTTCTGGCACATTCATATCTGAGCTTCTCAAAGCCTTCACTAATTCCACCTACATAACGAAATTCTTTCGAAATTCACTCAAAGAGCAAAAAGAACGAAGAACACCACTCTACCATCGCATTTCGTCTTCGCGGGTGACTAATTGCTATCACTATAGCCTTCTCAACCCATTCTGCAGTCTTTTTATATCTTTCGATGACCGCTGAGAGGATTCAAGCTACAATAACCTGCACGGGTCTCTCGAGAGGAATCATAAATGATAGTTGGGTGAAGCAAGATAGGAAAGAAAGTTTAAACAAGGAAAATGTGGCCTGTCGATCCTTCAGTCCTTCGAAGTTCCACAACCCCCACGGCATTTCTAAGCCCCTCTGGATACGTCACTCTGATCTAGATGAATGATCAGTCGAGCAGGCTTGATAGCGGCAAAAATAAAAAAATACCATAATTTTTGCTGTCGATTGTCAATGTGACCATAGCTGCATTGCTAGCTCCGGGACTTGACACATTCTCGAGAACCGCAAAGCACATGTAGAGGACCCCTCATAATTAGGATGCCAGCATGGAGAGACAGTAAGCGTTCACATTTGGTAGCACGGACGCCTTCACCCAGCTTCTCGATAAATCTGAGCGTCGTTGATCGGCTATCCCATGGCTTCTTTCCTCTTTAGCGACCTAAACCAATCTACTCATCGAATCATACATTTTGAATTGCCGGTGAGAAGTGCCATTAGGTTGCTAGAATGAGCAGCGAGAGCTGGCAATTTACGGCAATGACGACCGTTTGGAACCTTCTTCCTTCTCGGAAGAAGAATTAATAAGTATTACACAAGAGTTTACCCTCACGTTAACTTGAGTCATGTTATATGGGGTTCCCAGCGACACCTGATTTTTAAAGAGGGGCCATATTCTCAATTTATCTGCAGCGCATCGATACTCATGTGAGTGTAGCTCACTGGAGCTGACATCAGTCGGTTGATTAATCTACTTAATGCAGAATAGAGACAATTTTTCTGTGGATCCAGGATACGGGCCGCGCCTTAGTGTAAGCCGTCATGAAAAAGTGATTCTCTGAGTTTCTGGGCCCTCTCTCCAAAACTGAGCCCTTCATCTCACAACTTCGGAGTCCGACAAAACATTGAGAAATCCGTTCCAGATGGGCATTGATGGAAGTCATTGGCCTCTGGTGGGGTTCTGCCGGCATCAAAACTCTTTTTCGTATTTTCTCCTCACTCTTTCCAAAAACTCACTAATCTCACGGGAAATCTTGTCAAGCTGCAAATCTAGGTAACTCGAATCCGATTGCATAGCCTTTCAAGATTCCACATATAGCTTTCAGGAGCATTTGCAAGAGAATTACAATTCATAACGGGTTGAGGTAGGCTACAAGCTGGCTACAATTTCAATGTTCTGCAACATCTCTGGAGACCCTGAGCTTTGACGGAGTTTAACTACAAAAAACTATGTTCAATGACTGACTTAGTGGCCTCAGAGTCCTTGTCTTCGGTGTTCTCAAAGATCGCAGTGCCTCTAGCTTCCATGAAACATCTTATATGAGTGGGCCAATTCCCCTCGAAGTTGCATGTCGCTATACCAGCCTCGAAAAGTAGAGAGAGATCTCCAACCATAAATGAGTTGATAAGCATCGAAGTGAAAAGTTCCACTAGAAACCTTTTTTCCAGATGGCTCGCTTCATCAAACTTCAAAGTTACAACACTGACCCAGTGCAAGTATGAGCTCTGTTGCTTCAAGTCAACTATCAAGAGCATAATCAGGTGACAAAATATCTACTCGCACTATAGCACCTACACATGATATAGAAGGTCGCGAATACTCTGAGCGTTCCAGGGGCCAAGACAAAAGCGACTATCCTGCCTATGTAATTTTTAAATTAAAGTATTGAACTAAGATAGTTGGACTCATTCTGGTTCTAGGCAAGCTCCACACATTTACTTCCCTTTAAATCTGCTGTATGTCTCTTAGTCAACACAGATATTGAGTCCTCACCCTCTTACAGATTAATCACCAGCACGAGAGCTAACAGCTTCAAAAGTAGAGGTGCCAGAGATACTGCCGTTAGCTCGCGGTCGCTTTGAGAATCGACCGGAGATCCATCATAGATGTGTGGTAAAGAGATAGTCGATCTCCGCGTCCGTGTTGGATTGGTCTTTGATGGAAATTCCAAGAGTAGACATCCGACTGACATGTTTAGCCAAGGGGTGCTGCTGATGGCGGCCATGTCCCTAGGTCCACTTGTCGCGTCGAGGGATTGTACTGGCAATTTTGATTGTCTTTTCCAGGCCTAGCTCATTGACTAAATGATGATATTCGGAAAGAGGCTAACACACCATTTATCAGAGGGTGAGCTAGCTAATCTGATTCGAAGGAAAGCTTCCCACACTTCTTGATATTCTTGGCTTATACTGATCGAACGTACTCAGTTCATCTTCCAGGGTGCATGACGCCTTAAACGCACATTTCATCCCTTCGTATTCCAGCGGATGTTTATGTTTAAGTGTCATTTCAAGGCGCAAGCTTACCTTGGTATTGATTCCATAGTGTTAATGGCAGAATATAAGCCCAACAACGGCACGTTTGAATCGTGGGCAGAAGATCGTCGCTAAAGTCATTCAGCCTTGAAACTTAAAACAAATGACAAGAAATGGATGTATTCAAGGTGCTTTATGATGATGGTTGGTAACTTTGATGTCTCATTCGACTCATCTATAGGTGTATCGATTAGTTAATGACCAAGAGCTTGACTATCATTCAAATTATACCTTGTGAGCCATTACAGTTTCCACGCACTTGTTGCAACATTCTTCCTCAACCACTCTACCAACTCCACATTGGTACCCTCTAATACCAGCATCTATCGTCGGAAGCTTTACTCCTTTATCGGAACACAGAGTTTGTTCATATCAGCCGCCGCGAACATGAGTAGTTATCACGATCGATTTCGCCTCCCCTTGTGAAACCTCCGGTAGTGACATCCACATCAGCGGCCTCACTCTCCTTGCTTATACTGATTTTAGATCGCGTACTGTCGATCATGCCACTCGAAACGACTTCAGGTTCTAGCTCTTTCAAACGGTCAAATGAGAACTTTGAGGACTGAAGTGGAAAAGGTTTCATTCTGCTTCCGTGTATCATTTCTATGAAAGACTGTGAATTCCAACATGGCAGTTCTAAGTTGGAAAACAAAAGTTAGTAAATGCATTTTTTTTTTGATGGAGCTCTCGTGTCTCCTTTGAAACAGTGTTTTCGTGAAAAATTGCCAAGGAACTGCTGAACAGATGCATTCAATCTTGTGTAGGTGATCAATTGATGATCACATCTCCTTCCTTCATTGTAAAGACTCTTTAATAATGAGATAAATGCATCATTATCAGAATGCATAAAATCAGATAGAGGAGCAGACCTACAGCAATCAGTCTGCAAGCCTTTTCCACAAACAATTTGAAGAGCAGATATTGAATTCGAATTTCAAGGGATACTGTCAGCAGGACGTCACTTACCCATTATTGTTATAAGTTTCACCAAATTTTTGACTTTTGTACACAGTCTTGGTTGATTTGTTGATTTCTCTGCTTCCAAATAAAGATTGAAATCCCTCTATTCTGAAACGAACAAACAGGAAAGCTTGGAAGCAGGCATACCAGATTGATAATTCAATCTCACTTTGCCTCTTTAAGTATATTAGGCGAAGAGGCTCGAGCTCTTCATACAATTTTCCAATTCAAAACGTACCATATTTGGACAGTTTATATCTTTCGTTCAACAGTCCTATTCTATGTCAAAATTTAAGGATAATCATTTCTGGGTATATTTGGAGTCTCTTGGGTCTTCCTCTGAGTCTCATCAGAGACAACTTTATTAAACAAATTATGAAGGAGCAAACAGAAGAACTTGTCTGTTTTCACATCACTTTCAGTCATCAGTGAATCTTCTTAGAATTGGTTTATGAAAGATGGGTTTTTATATTTCAAGCATAAACAATAGCTCAATATTCCTGCTTGATCCTCAATCACATCATTAAAAAATGCTATGTTACAATCTATAGGATTTTCACAGGTGGTTCCCGCACTCAACTTCCTCGAAAGCTATCTAGAGGAAGTAGAGCCAGCAAAATGCATTAATCTATGCCCTTAGACTTCTTGTTCTGGCCAGGAATACTGGTCGATTCCAACATCGGATACATGCACTGACAAGCTGTGATAGAATTGGAGACCTCAAAGACAAGAGAGCCTGTCATCGAAGAAATTATGGAGGGCAAAGAGGAGTTCATGGTGGATGGGTCAACTCATACTTACTATCGTTGAGCATTTAAATGCGGCCTAATCTGGACATATGACATGTGTCTTTGGGGTTTATTGAGATTTCACGGTCAGTACTGGGCTAACTGGAATTTGTGGACATGTTTGAAATACCACAACATAGCTACTCCACCTTGAGTATATTTCCTCCAACTTCTTCTCAATGGACTAGCTACCACTAAACTTCGAGATTTTCCTTTTAAATAGAGTGCCACAGTAGAGCCCCTTTCCGCTTCCAAGTTCTAGTGCTCTTGGTA